TTGACTTTTTTTTATACCTTCTGACAATATTCAATAAACAGATTTCCAAAAATATAAGTTTTATTATTAGGAAATTATTTTATAAAATTCAATTATAAGAATTTAAATCTAATTTAATATTTAGATTTACAAAATATTCAAGAAATAAGATTTATAAAACAAGATTAATAAAATAATCTTTATTCATTGTAAGTTTAATGTAAATCAAATTTAATTTTGACAAAAATTTAATTATTATTTTATTTGGAATATATATAGAAAACTAATGAAATTAATTATTAATCTTAATAACGAATCAACATAGAGTATTTGTTTTTTATTATTACTATTACAATTCATTTTGTATATGAACTCATCTCATTAGTATATGGACTCATCATTATATTAATATTAAACTTTAAACATAATTTTTGAACTCTTACTATTAAAAGTGATGTTTTTAGACTTTATTCATTGAATACAATCATTGAATACTAATCGAAAATATTAAAAAAAGTCAATAATTTTTTATTATTTTTATTTCAGTTTAATAATTTAAAAATTTTTTAAATATATATTCTATGTATATTTTTATATATAATAATATTATGATAATTCAAACAGTAACATTTTTATTGTTTCTAATGATAAAGTGATAATAATAAATATAATTTTTATTATTTTTAATTGTACAATCATAATTAGAAAGAATATATTTGTATATTTGATAATTTCATCATTAAAAACTAAAATTATATTTGACATTAATGACATATTATAAATTTATATTTATTATCTAGGTTTAATGTCAGAGGAACTAATGATGATGGTCATGTAGCAAATTTTGTAGAAACAGAGCAAGTAATATATTTAGATAATGAAGTAACTTCTTATGTGCAAACTAGAGGATCAGTTCCTTTATTCTGGGAGCAACCTGGTATTCAAGTTGGTTCTCATAAAGTGAAAATTTCTCGTGGTTTTGAAGCATCTGCACCTGCTTTTAATAGACACTTAAATATAATCAAAGAAAGGTATGGGCAGCAAATAATTGTCAATCTTCTTGGATCTAGTCTAATTGGAAGCAAAGAAGGAGAAGCAATGTTAAGTCAGTTATTCCAGACTCATCATAATATGTCAGAACATAATGATGTGCCTCATATTTTATTTGATTATCATCAAGAATGTAGAGGTGGAAATATGAAAAATCTTTCAAAATTAAAAGCAAAAATAGATAAATATTTAGAATCATTTTCATTGTTTTATGCGGCTGGTAATACCGTTATTCTTGAACAAACTGGAACTATTAGAACAAATTGTCTCGATTGTCTAGATAGAACAAATTGTGTACAAACATTTTTTGCATTAGAAATACTTGGCAAACAACTTGGATTATTAAAGTTACTTGAAAAGCAACAGATGGTTTCAAGATTTGAAGAAGTATTTAGACAAATGTGGATCAACAATGGTAATGAAGTAAGTAAAATATATGCTGGTACTGGGGCAATTCAAGGAAGTTCAAAATTAATGGATGGTGCAAGATCTGCAGCTAGAACAATACAAAATAATTTATTAGACTCCAGTAAACAAGAGGCTATTGACATCTTATTATTGGGATCAACATTAAATACAGAATTAGCGGATAGAGCTCGGTTACTTTTACCTTCAAATATGTTACACGCTCCACCCAGCGTTCTCAGAGAAATGTGCAAAAGATATAATGAATATGTAACTACAATGAATCTTAGAGTAAGTGTAGGTACTTATAATGTCAATGGAGGAAAACATTTCCGAAGTGTTGTGTATAAAGATGTATCTCTTTCTGATTGGTTACTAGATGCTCCTCGAAAGTCATCATGTAAGTTTAATTTAAATATGTTTATTTTTATTAATGAAACATTTTTCTGAGTTTTATTATGAGTTTTATATTTATATTTTTATAGCTCTAGTACCAGTTGAATATGATAATGTTCCTGTAGATATATTTGCAATAGGATTCGAAGAAATTGTTGATTTAAATGCTAGTAATATAATGGCTGCTAGTACCGATAATGCAAAAGCTTGGGCAGAGGAACTACAAAAAGTACTTTCCCGAGATACTGAATATGTTTTGGTCACCTATCAACAGTTAGTTGGCGTTTGTCTCTATTTATTTATACGACCTAAGCATGCACCTTATTTAAGAGATGTAGCTGTAGATTGTGTTAAAACTGGATTAGGAGGTGCAACAGGAAATAAAGGAGCTGCAGCTATTAGATGTGTATTGTATTCTACGTCTTTCTGTTTCGTTTGCGCGCATTTCGCTGCTGGACAAAGTCAAGTTAATGAACGTAATGCAGATTATGCAGAAATAACACGAAAAATAACATTTCCTATGGGAAGAACATTGAATACTCACGACTATGTATTTTGGTGTGGAGATTTTAATTATAGAGTTGATATGGATAAAGATGAAATGAAAGAAATGATAAAAAAAAATGAATTTAATCAAATATTACAATATGATCAATTGAAGGTAAATATAATAAAAATACTCTGTATAAACTAAAAAATACTGTAAAAAATATTTTTTTAATACTTTGAAAATTTTCAAGGTTCAACAAAATCATGGAAATGTCTTTAAAAATTTTTTGGAAGGACCTATTATTTTTGCTCCAACGTATAAGTATGATCTTTTTTCTGATGATTATGATACTAGTGAAAAATGTCGTCAACCTGCATGGACTGATAGAATATTGTGGAAACGTCGAAAACAAGTACCTGATATCGGTTAGTTTTGTACAATTATGATTTTAATTAATATTCTCTTAATTTTTATTAATAATAACATTTGCTTTTATCTATTTTAGATTCTCCTACAGATTGGAATCCAGGAAAATTGATTCATTATGGTAGGGCAGAATTAAAACAAAGCGATCATCGACCAGTTATTGCTATAATAGATATAGATATTCATTGTGTTGAATCTGAAAAACGTGAACGAGTATTTAAAGAAGTGATTCAAGATTTAGGTCCACCTGATGGTACTATAGTAGTAAAAGCAATTGAAGAATCAGATGATATAGATAGCGTATTTGATGAAAATTTTATGATGGCATTATTACAAGATTTCTCTCATATTGGTGAAGTAATTCTTGTTAGATTCGTTGGTGAAACAATCTGGGTAACATTTAGAGATGGACAATGTGCTTTATCAGCAGCAAGAAAAGGTATGACTCAAGTATGTGGCCAAACCTTAAAATTATCTTTGAAATCACCGAATTGGGTGCAATTAATTGAAAAAGAATAGAACTTTGTAGTAATACTACAGTTGCGCAATTTGTTTCAAATTCTCTAATAAGAAATTCAATTCAAAGATTAGAACAATTAGACATAGCAGAACGGTCATCTTCTAGTAGAAGTAGTCCAAATGGAGTAATTCCTCCACCTAGACCAGCTCCACCAGGTCGTCCAGCTCAACTACCTAAAAGTCCAATACAAGATCGAAAACAAGGACCACGTGCTGGTGTATTTAGTGTGTCGCCCAATCAATTCTTAACGTCATTATCTAGAGAAAGAGTAGAATCTGAACAAAGTGAAAGATTATCACCAGAATCTGCAATTTATGAAGAAATATTGGATGGATCACCTAATTATCCTATACCAAATCGTCCACCACCACCACTACCTCGTACAGATCCTTTGCAAGAATCATCTAATAGATCACCCAGTTCTAAACCACCTCCACTACCCCAAAGGCAAGCTCCTCCTCCTCCACAACATCCTCCACCTATTTTACCTACTTCAAATGTTCCGCCGCCAATTCCAGCAAGAACATCAGGTGGGCCGCCTATTCCGGCTAGAAATCCACATTGAATCTATTTAATTCAAAAAACAACTCAGAATGTGTAATTGTGTAGTTAATTTATAAATATTGATAAAAATTAACAGAATAGATCGCTTCTATATAATGTTATAAAACTATATAGCATACTGCAAATTTTAAATTTATTCTGTGATTTTATTTTATTTGATAGAAATTCAGTTTTCAAACAATATAAGAATTTAAGTTTTCACTGTGCAATTTCAATACTTTGCACTTTGTAAACAAATTTGTTACTTCAAATTGATTATAAAAATAATATAGACTATATATAGAATTTACAATTGTATGTAATTTAAAAATTTCTTAATAATTGTTAAAACAATTAAAAATAATTATGTTAAAAAAAATTTGTGCTGTTGAAAATGTTATATTGATATAATTTTCTGAAAAAATTTATTGTGGCTAAATATAAAAAAAATACTGTTATTGCTATATTGCTCTATTTGAAATAAAAAAGCCACAAAAGTTATATTTTTTTGATATATTAATTTTATGATTAATGTTAAAATTTATTGACTATATTTTTCCCCTTTATTTATATACATCTTGCTATATTTTTTTAAAATATAATAAATGATTAAAATGATTTTTTGAATATTGAAAAATATATATTTTAAATTTATTCCTGAGTATAATGCTGAGAAAAGTAAAAAATTTAAATATAACAATATTCTTATAAAATATTTTCTATAAATATACATAAAGGTCATTATTATAAAATATAGAAATATCAATCAGTATTTTGTTAGAAAAGATATTACTATATTTATTTTGCTTCATATGTGTTATATTATTATACATGTATGTATAATATAAATTGATACAAGTAAAATGAGATTCTATGTTTATACAATGAACAAAATATTCTTAATTATTTTATAAAATTCGAACAATAAGTACTTGCGCGATTATTTTTTAAATATTTTTTTAAAAAGATCAAATTACAAATTAAAATTATGAAAAATATTAAAAATGAATAAATTTAATTCATTTTTGTAATGAATCATATATAAATGCAAGAGATGATGTTAGTAAAAAATTAAATTTTTGTAATGATACACATTTTCTGAATACTTTTTTCATTACTTTTTAAAATTCATTTATTTTGCTAATATTACTTTATATTTTATAGTATAAAACACAGGATTTCAAAAAAATATTTTTTTAAAAAAAATTTTATTTATTTCAGTATTCATATAATAAAACTGTTTTCTAAATCTGTAATTAATCCTAGTATTGTCATTTATTTGATAGTACAATAATGACAACACTTTAAATATTATCTACTGATACGTATAAAAAAGTTTTACAAAAATTATTATCAAATTTAATTTGTATAAATATATGTTAACACAATGAATTGTGTCTGTCATTGCTATATCAACAATTTATTATAAAAGAAATGAATGGCTTTGAACACTGTTATGGAAATATATTTCCATTCAGTATAAACATATTTCTTTTAATGAATAAATTATATACAAAACGATATTACTAAATTAATAGCTAACTAATTTCTGATTAATATACTAAACATATTTAGCAGATACCAAATATTTGTTTATCTGCAAATAATATTTATTTTTATCAAAATAATATATAATTTCAATTTTCAAGTATTTTAATTTAAAATTATTTATCATTTAAAAGAAATCAATAAATTTAAAATTAATTAATTACAAAAAAATGTCAAATTTTAGCATTAAAAAAAATATAAAGAATGAAATATAGAATTTAACAAATTATTTCATAATATTATGTATATCCAAATATTGTAAAAACTAAATGAAATGAGAAAATGAAGATATTGCATGATTGGTATATATGGATATACCCAAAACATATCTGTTTCTAACAATTTGTTTTCAGTCTCATGTGTATCTTTTGTGCTTAGACAAGTTATACACCTTGAATATCAATTTACTCTTTTTAATTTGAGTATTAAAATATTTAACTTAATAAACCACAATTACTCAAATTGTTTTTGATTATAACATCAGTTACAGCGTCGAATACAAACTGAATATTAGATGTATCAGTAGCACATGTAAAATGTGTATAAATTTGTTTCTGATCTTTTCTTTTATTCAAATTTTCAAATTTCATTTGAATGTAAGAAGCACATTCTTCATAAGTATTAGCACCTTTATATTCTGGGAAACAAATAGTCAATGGGCTCCTTGTGATCTTTTCCTCAAAAAGATCTTTTTTGTTTAGAAATAAAATAATTGATGTCTCAACAAACCACTTGCTATTACAAATAGAATCAAACAGTTTCATTGATTCTATCATTCTATTCATTTCTTCATCCTCTGCAAGTACCAAGTCATATCCACTTAATGCAACACAAAAAATGATAGCAGTAACTCCTTCGAAACAGTGTATCCATTTTTTTCTTTCTGATCTTTGACCTCCTACATCAAACATTCTGATAGAACAGAAAAATTTTAACAATGATTCACAATATAAAATTAATGAAAATATTTTAAAATTAACTTACTTAAAATGTAAACCTTTAAAGGAGAAATGTGTTTCCACTATTCCTGTTGTCTTTACACGTGTTCTAAGAACATCTTGTTGAGTAGGAATGTAATTAGGCTGAGCTATGCGATCTAAAGCATTAAGGTAATATGCTGCTGAATCATTTAGCTGATATTCTCTACTGCGGGTGAAACAAAGTTGTACTCCAGCATCCTGCCATAATCGTTTCATTAATAATGCCAGTTCCCCAGTTAGTTCACCCTCCTCTGCAGCAGAAGCTAGGGTAAAAAATTGACGTGCTATATCCTATAATTAAATTTGTTGTTACTGATAAAATATGCATGATCTAAAATATATAATATATTTTTATGATTATATAAGATATTTTTCACTTAAAATTAATATGTTTACCGCTTTATTAGGATCTGCAAAGTCAATTCGAAGCTGACCCATGGCTCTAATTATTGTCATAAGACTTTGAACTGTGTTACTGCAAACTACAGGTTTATATTGTTCACATTCTTCTTTACTGTATCCTGTTTCATGAATAATTTTCATTTGTTTTACTATAGTAGATTTTCCAGATTCTCCAGCTCCTTAAAAGGCAAACATATATTCATATGTTTAATGAATATATATAAAATTATATATAATATTTGATTTTCATTACTTTTTCTTCTTAATAAAAAACATCAATATTCATAAATTACAATCTATTTGAATAGCTATAGATTGAGAACGTAATATCTAATGATTCATTCTAAATGATGATTCAAAGTTTTCGGAAAATTGCTCGCACTTTCATGATTACACAAATCCAATAATTGATGAGAATATGATTAGTGTGAGAAAATTATTTAAGATATGTATCAAACAATTGAAATATTATCTTAAAAAATTAATGGAAAAACAAATGAAAAAAAAAGTTTCTTTGGTGACCATACAGTGCAGTGATCTACTTTTACAACAAATCATTAAAACATTGTGGAATCATCATCTTCGAGAAAATACATAATGAGTAAAAAAAAGAAGAATAATGCTAAGACAATTATTCTAGATAGAAGATACATTAATGGAAAGAAAAGAAGAAGAAATTACCAAGGAGGAGGAGTTTGACCTCACTAGCGGCCCGCTCCCCATCAGCTCTAAGATCCTTGTCGATCTTCTTAGATCTTTCTGCAGCTTCTTTCTCGCCGGTAGTACTCACCGCGCAGCCCATTTTTGCCGGTGATTCTTTTTATCCGGTGAAGAAAGAATGAACACCATGTACAGCGCTCTTTGAAACAATTAATCGCGCTGCCGTATATGACACTTGTTGCACGGACGTGTGGGAACCGCCCGCACGCGGTTGGCTCGCATACACACACTAATTGGATGTACAGTCTTACACACTTGCGTCTATGTCCTCCGTCAATATAGGTATTATCGTATACTACATGCATACGTGTGATCTATTTCTCGTGATCACTTGTTGCTTCCCGTCAGAAACGATGCAATGGACCTAAACTTTACAAACTTGTAATACCGGCACAATCACTTCTCATACAATCTATCTACTCTATTCCTTGGTATACGATACATAAGCAGGATTTGTGAAAATCTTTCGATTACAATCAACAACCAATCCATGTAAAGATCGCAAATACTTTCAGGCCAATGAAAACATTAAAGAGATATTTGTTTGAATTATAAGCGCCATCTAGCTAAAATCAAAGGTCAGTTAGAGAATGAGAGGATCATCTTGTAATATATTTCATTCGATGATTATATTGTATACATTTGGGTCTATAGGCCCCAATAAAATTTATAAATATACATAAATGATAATTTATAATATGTATTTTAATAATATCTATATTGCTATGCTATCTTGAACTATTTTTCTGCATCATAAAAAATCGAATGAAATATCATTTTATAAATAAAGAGAAAAAATATTTATATTAGATAAAAAATATTATTATTCTCATATAAAAACAAATTTATATTAATTTTTATTTAGAATTGATCAAATATAAAAAACTGAATATATAATATTAATGTAGCATATTATGTTATAATATATATATATATAAAATTTATAAAATATATATATATATGTAATATATAAGATATTAATAATTCATATAACAACTTTAAAAAATTAATCCTAAAAATAATCCAAAAAAAATTGATATATAAAAATTTCTGTTAAAGCTTAATTATTAAATTATAAACAATTTAAATTAAATGAAACAAAATGGAAATACAATAATATAGTTTTATCTTTGTTACACCGCCGGCACCGTTACATCATCTCACTCTGTCTCTGTCTCAATTTATTTAACGCAAATTT